GATAAATATAGATAAAGTAGAATTAAAATAGAACAGAAAGTGCTAAAGTTAGAGGGTCAAATAAAGGTTTGCATTTCGCATTAAACAACATTTGGCAATATTTGGCCCTCAAACTGCACATAGATCTGTATCTGATGGCTTGCAGGTCATTATGGTGTCTGTACAGCCACTAAACCCATTCTAAACATAGATAAGCCTAAAATAGAATATTACGAAATAGCCTAAAGAAATGTTCGATGACTATGACATATTTAAAAGCTTTTCTCTTTTTCCTGGTTACCTCTCATTTCTCACTATTACACCTTTGTTCAGTCAGTCAGACATTACTGGGATGGTGGACAGGTAAAAAGATATATAATTTTTATTAATGACTCTTCTTACACATTTGAATTCTTGCACTAAGAAGGTTTGAGAACAACAGCATATTCACATGAGATCATAAATCCTTTTTGGCCTTTATCAGTATCCGTAGTCTATCTCAACCAACCGAAAAATCTTGCAGATGAAACGGAAGCACAGAATCTTTTAATACAAGCCAGACCATCCACTCACACTCACGCGAGTCGCACGCTGCTCAGTGAAGATCCTGATTAACTACATTCCTTATCAGATGTAGCGCTACCATTGCTGCCACCTTTACCAAAATCATTTATATATTTAAACACATGTACATATATTATGCACCAACATAATTTACATCAGTGTAAAAAGGGTCTGTTATGAGGAGGTCATGGACAAGTAGCTAATAAAAATAAATAAAAAAGCTTCTGTTTACACAAAATGCAGTCACTCGCTTTAAATTTAAGCACCTTATGCCTTCATTCAATACCATAACTACCAAAAATCTTTTAACTTTTTAATTTTATGGACGTCAGAGCACTCACAATTCGTTGTTTTATAGCGCTCCCTATCGACAGCGTTAATTGAACTGCAGCCAAACGCGGATAGAAGATACAGCCGTTGAGTTATTGAAAGGGCCGCAGTGGAGAGTGGGCGGGCTAGTCAATAAAGCGGCTCTGGGCGGGAGTTCGTGGTGCGGTTTGGCCGAGAGAGTGAAGCTCAACTCCGGACACAAATACACGGAGAGGGAAGAGGCGTGTGGCTCCGTTCCTTATCATGTCGCAGTTTAACGAGCACGTACAGTTATAGTTAGTTGCGGTATTCGCACTGAGACTTCAGCCGTTTTGAAGAATAACACACATTCACTCTCGAGTTGTTACCATCTCGACAACAAGCGTTAGCCAGTCATTTAAACATCACCAAACAGACCTTTAAAGTTCATTATCAGGCCTGATATCGAGGAGCTGGTGGTATTTGGAGACTGTTGAAGGTTTTGTGGTGGTTTGAAAGTTTCCTGCACGGATTTGTTTTCTAAGTTTTGTCCGTGGAAGTCAGACGTTCGGGCCGCAAACAGTCTCCCGTGCGCGGAGAGCAGAAACAGGTGAGTGGAAACTCGTACGCGCGATGATCGCGCATATATAATCACGCTTTTCATCCCTGTATAGTTTTAGACAGTAATTTGATCCAAAAATGAATACCTGAAAGGTTTATTCGCCATTTGAAGTTAACAGCTTGCGCTAACTGTACAGGCTAGCTGTATTACTCCTCAATATCTGCCAGTCTTTAGCATGTAGGCTAACACGGACACTATTGTTTTTCTGTTAAAATACGCTGTTTGACACTTTATGTTTGATAGTTGAATATTTTAAGGATTTTAAAGTTTGTTTTGATATGTTCGTGTGCAGTTAACTTTATAGAGAAGGATAGTTTTGCTGATTTAGCTCGCAGCTTTCTGTGTGTTTGTGGGTTTGGCCTGCAGCATTCATGTGCTTTGACATATGGATAGAGTTGATTTGACATCTCCAATACATTAATGTAATTTTAAATCATAATTTAGTTTGCATATGGTTTTTACATGTCGTTGTATAACAAAGGCATTTAAATATTGTTAATTTTAAGTGGTTATGCATTGCGGTGCTGTCATATTTACGTACTGTCATAATGTAAACATTCTCCATGTGTCATTTGAAAGGACTGTCTTGAGTCAGCATTCGCAGTTGACAAATCAAATGTATGTTTTTTTTAATGTTAACACGATCAAGTAGGTGTTAAATGATTATATTATCTTCCCCATAGAAGCGTAATTAATTCAATTTTAAAGAGCATTAAATATTTTGTTAAAGCACGTGGTAGAATGATCTTATTTTGGATGTATATGCATTATTGATGTTTGTTTACACAAATGTGCCTATATAGTATTTTATAACAGTTGTTTTGATTACAGGATAGATGCTTTTTACTCTGATTTTGTTTAAATGACTATAAAGTTGTTTTAAAGTATGGGTTTCTCATGAATGCAGTCTTGCAGTCTGTTAAAGACCGTAATCAATTTGAGATATCTGGTATTTCAAACAGTTTTCAGTAACAGACAGTTCCTTTTTTAGCATGTTAAGTGTTTGTAGGTTTTATGAGGTCAGCTCATTCAGAGATGCTTTCCCCAGTAGTTATATTGACCAGTCAGCTCTACTGTGCAGATTGAGTGGGGGGTGGGGGTGGGGGGCAGTCAGTTTTGACAAAATTTGTACATATTGTCAAAACTGTAAGTATAAACACGAGAAGTTTTTGATTAAAAAATGATAATGGAGTTGTATTAAGTTTTTTTTTTTAAAATGACATATTATAATATAAACAGTTGTGAATAACTGTTTATATACTGTTTATATTTGTTTGAGTAATCGCATCCAAAATAAAAGTTTTTGGTTACATAATATATGTGTGTATACTGTGTATATTTATTATGTATATATAAATACATACAGTATTTATTTTGAAAATATTTCCATGTATTTATTTATATTCATATAATTGATATTATATACAAATATTTTAAATGTATAAACTCAACATATTTTTCTTAAATGTATACATGCATGTGCGTGTATTTGTATATACATAATAAATATACACATTACACACACATATTATGTAAACAAAACAACCCTCTACATTGCGAGTAAATCACTCGCACCAGTTTTCTATCTTATGTCAGTGGGAGCATTTGTATTGTTACAATTTGTGTGTTGTCTCTTGCGTTTTGTCTTCGCATTCCAGAAGCTCTCTGGAGCTTGTGAGCTGTCAGTGGCTGTGATTATGTTTGACATGAACACTATTCTAGTGTGTAACACGAAGCTTTTGTCATGCCGTACACCATTCAGGCTCAGCGGGAGACTGCCGTTTACTGAGAATGACCCTGCTGAGACAGAGGCCAGAATTCAGGCAGCCAAGTTTGAACTTAGTAAGCTCTACCAAAATGTGTCCCAAAGTGCCTCTCTGTTCCTCAAGAAGATCCTGTGCAGCTACCCTTGGTGAGTAAAACAGTGCTTTAAGAAATATTCATCTGGTAACCCTCTACATTGCGACTGAATCTTAACTCTGGGCGACTAAATTATGTCTAATATTAGCCACTGGCTAATACATTCTCAGATTTTACTCGCCAGTGTGTAAGTTGGAGGCTAAGTATAAGTTTAGCACAGATATATTTTTACTCGCCGAACACTCTCTGACTCAAGCGATCTGTGCTATTTTTCAGTACATCTCAATGGATGTGCAACGCACCTGCATTTGACGTACCGTGAACTCTAGTGTGAAGGCGCACGACTCGCCGTCGGTTTCGCTCATTAATCCTTAGTGCGTTTTATATTGTTCTTATTAGTAGAATGTGTATCATTATCTTATCAGTGTTTTTGTTAGTTTTTTCCCGATTTTTGTTTTTGTGCAGAAACACTGAATGACCAAAAAAGCACCACCACCAGTCCGAAGTTGTAGAGGGTTGCAAAAGCTTTTATTTTGGATGCGATTAATCGTTTGACAGCACTTTTATTTATATATATATATATATATATGTATATGTGTGTGTGTGTGTGTGTGTGTATGTATACACACTACTGTTCAGATGTTTGGGGTCATTAAGACTTAAGTGTTTTTAAAAAATAATCTCTTATCGGTAAAAATCGGTAATATTGTGAAATTATTAAAATTTAAAATGGTTGTAGTTTATATTTTTGTGATAGCAAAGCTGAATTTTCAGCAGCCATTACTCCAGTCTTTCTTCAGTGTCTCATGACCCTTCAGAAATAATTTTAATATGCTGATTTGGTCCTCAAGAAACATTTCACATTATTATCAAAGTTGAAAACAGTTGTGCTGCTTAATGTTTTTGTGGAAATTGTGATAAATTTTTTCATATTGAATGAAAGGTTCAGCATCTATTTGAAATGGAAATCTTTTGTAACCGCTTTACTGTCAAATACTGAATAAAAGTATTATTTATTTTACAAATCCCTCAAACCTTTGAACAATATTGGAAGTGTAAGTATAAGTATAATCGGTTGATAAATGTATAAATAGTATAAATTTTAATGAATATTGTGCTGTGAATATTGTTGAATCTTATAACACATTACTTGTGATGCTCCCCACTTATAGGTTGCCTTGTATATGTTGTCATTTGAATTGATTTTGTAAATGATTTGTAATTGATTTGTCTCCACTGTTTCGTCATCCACAGTTCCCTGGTGGTCTGGAGAGCTCTGCGTTCGGAGCTAGAACCTGGACAGCTCATGACTTCAGACCAGGAAGGAAAAACTATCGTGGAGCCACAGGTGCAGCAGTCACAGGAAGCAAAGGAGAAAGAGATCTCCCTTTTGGTAAAGTATAACCTACATATCTCCGGTTAGTCTTTTGAAGTATGTTATGTAATTGTGATCAGGGAATAAAAACCTACTAGCGAAATAACTGAGACACCCCGCCCAGCTTTGGGCGTTGTGAAAGGGCTTAACAGGCGCTTGTGTGAACCACCCTTGTGTTTTGGGACCTTGCCAAGTTGCTGATCCCATTCATACAATGCAAGTGCAGCGTCCATTGAAGCACCAATCATTGGAGAGAGTTCGTATTTGAGTGATGGGCCCATGTGAGTCAGCTGTATAATTTTAAATGTGCTATTTTGGGTCTGGGGAGGGGGTAAGCAGCCATAGCGTGCCCCTCTGTCTCTCTTTCCCTCTCCGAGGAGCTTGTGAGAGGAGCTCGTTTTTGTTCACCGGTTTGCATAGGTGTCCTTTCACAAATTAAAATATGGGGTGTTGTTTCAGCAAAGAACTGAACCCTAACCTGGTCAGCGAGAGAACAAGTCTTCTTCAGGCAGCCATTCCTGAGTGCTCCACAGCAAATGACGTCAGAGACTGCGCTTGGCCTGTCGCCGATCTGGCCGGCGAGAAGCCTTCTGAAAATGGGAAGGTGAACGCTGCTTTAGATACCAGTTGTAATGCTTCCTCCACAAACTTGTCAGCAGGTCTCAACCTCATTAAAGAGGGCGGTAGCAGTGTACAGGAAGGAATGGCATTTTGGGACCCACCTGTCAGCGATCCACCTATCCACGAGGCTGCGGTCCAGAAAGGAAATGCCAGTGAAATAGGGAGAGACGGCAGAGACAATTGCAAAATTAAGGATCCTGAAACATTGGATTCTGTGAAATGGAGAATAGCTGAAAATGCCAAAATGAGAGCAAAATGGTTTTGTGATGGTCAACAGAATTCCACAGAATTAACTAGAGATGGCAAGAGTGAGAACACCACCTTTGGACGAAATACCCTGGGCGTTAGTCCGTCATGCATTTTAGAGGATCAACACTCTGGTTTCTCCGTTATTGCAAAAGAGGAACAAGTTATGACCCTGTGGGATGTACAATCAAAACCTGTGTTCACTCCAAAGCATGCCACCCCTCCATTCAATAAATACTCTAGGAGCTCAATAAATCTGGATGACTCAGAAGACGTAAATTCTGGACTGTTGATCACTGGCTTTAAAAAAGAACAGAGTTTCTACAGCATCTGCTTGATTGATTTAGAGGATCTCGGGAGCGAGTGTGGGCACCAGCCTGTGACAGAAGCTGACGCAGCCAGGTACGCAAACGCTTCAGCTGTCTCTGAAAAGGCTTTGTTTGATAATTCATTACTCCCGAAAGACTACACAATATCGGGTTCTGAGCCTTCACATGAAATTACAGCAACACAACAAACAGAAAAAGGTCCCTCAGAGACAGGGTCTTCGACAAGTCTACCTGTAAATTTAGCACTTCCAAATGAAGAACATGCTCTCCCAGATCTTCTAAAACCATTTCCTGCTCAAGAAAATGAAAAGCCTTTATCTGAAAATGACATTTCCACTCTTTGTTCAGATACAGAGAACACACTTTCTCCCTCTACTGCTGTAGAGGACACCATTGATCAACCCTCCCCAGATCTGCTGGCGCAAAATGGACAGATGTCTGTGTTGAAGTCAAGTACAGATACCGCATTGCCACAGGGGGAACCTGCTGACCTACTTAACAGCCATGATCTTTATAGTAGCTCTGGTTACAAGGCCACAGATCTGGAGAGTGGTTCTGAGCTCAACATGCATAACACTGTTTTTGAAGAATCTATGTTGAGACCCCCTCAGCAAGATCTGAGTGGTCCTCCGGATGAATTAGAACTGGAAAATCAATGCAGAAATGATGATAATAATAGAGAATCAATGAACCTAAAGGTGGCGAAGAAACCTGTTGTGTCAGATAATATTGATTCCTTCATTTCTTCTCCTAGAAACACAGCAGATAGGTCTCCAAACCTTAACGTAGCTATCATGGAATCAGATCAGTGTGTTTCCATGAAAACCCTTACTGAGAACGTTCTCAAAAAAATGCCTCAAGCTTTCTCAGCTGTCAGCACATCTGCATCAGTAAAGTTAGTTGAGACCGAGAACCAAGGGTTTTCTTGTAAAGATGCCTCTGAAGACATTGAAAATGTAAAGTTTTGCTCTGAAACCCCACTGACTTCTGATAAAGAAGACAACCTGTCAAAATCACCTTCCTGTTGTAGAGTTGGAGTTGAACCAAGGCAAATAGCAACACAGGAGGAGGTCATTCTGAATCCTTGCCAGTGCAGTAAATTGCAAAGTGAAGGGCAGACAAATGAATCTGGCATGTTCAAGGTTGCTGGTGCACTTCAGAGTTTGAGCAGTCCATCTCATGCAGAAGATATTTGTTTAGATTTCACTTGTAATGCAAAAGAAGACAAATTGGACATGACTTTGAGTACACACGTTTACCCTTGCTGTGTTTTTCCCACTGACCAGACAAAGATTGTGTCAGAATCTTGTGACAGTCCAACCAGGGAACAGAATGTAGAACCAAATGCAAATTTTGCAAATGCTGAACCATGTGACATGAGTCCATCTCGGCTTCCTACAAATGCTTTTGTGAACTTTGAGCATCTGATGGAAGTCACTGGTAAATCTGAAGAAGCTGATTATCACAATGTAAGTTCTTCGAGTTCTTCTGTTTCTGATGACGTTCACACAAACTCTGTACCTGTACCCAGTTCTGATTGTCCTGTTGAGGAAGATCTCTTCCAGAGCAATGCCACCTGGTTTGTAAACGCATCACACAATGATGTCTGTAATAAAGGACATCCAGAAATCGTTGCAGTGAGTTATTTAATACAGGTGGGATTGGGAAGCGAACTGCCGGCAGCAGCACAAGAGCAAGTCATGGACAATGAAATAGGACAGACTTGTTTACAACATGATGAGAAGATGCATATTGCCAGCAAATGCTTCAGTGAGGATGAACAGAAGGTACTGGCTGAGATTTGTTTGTGTGCAGATGATGGTGAAACCGAAATGTCAGAACTTGAACCACAGGGACTCGTACCTACTGTAGAGCTGCTTAATTGCCTAAATGATGGGAATAACAACAATGATTGTTTGAAATCTGTTTGTTCTGCTAGCAGTGATGTACAAACACTTTCTCAACCACCATGCCAACCTGATGTTTTGGAGAAATTTGATTGCTCTTCATTGCCAATAAACTGCACAAGGGAAAGCACTTGCCAGTATCTGGACTCTTCTTCAGAGCATCCAGCCAGTGACACTCAGAGATCTTCAGTTACATCCATTCAGGAGCATGGAGACCTTCATGACACAGGGGAAATCAGAGGAGATGTTGTTGACATTCCTATCGTGAGTACTGCAAGTCTATCACTTGAAACTGGAGGTGTGCAGTCATGCGCTGTACAAGGCCATAGTAGTGATTATACTTCCGTTGAGAGCTTGACAACTACCATGCCTCATGTTTCCCAACTTATAACAAGCAGTCTTGGAGTTCTTGATTTTGATCAGTCTGATTTGAAAGTCATTGTTGATGATATGAGTGATAAAGCTACTTATGTAAATACAGCAATTCCGTTACCAGTAGAGCGTGACCAGGTTGATGTTTACGCCACCTTGCCATCTTACGAGATATATTTTCTCAATAAAGATCAATTCACGGTTCCTGTGCAGGTGGAAAACCCTCAGGGCTCGGATGAAATGGAGGGAGAGCAAGGCATGCTGAATATGGTGTCAGAGCTTCTTGGGAAATCCGAGTTGAGCGATGAGATGGACTCTAGTCACTGCCTTCCGGTGTGGGCCAAAGAACCACATGTCCTATTTTCTGATAACCAAATAGAGGCATGTGCGTTGGTGTCAGCATGGGACAACGCTGTCTCTGAGGCAAGCCTTACAATGCAAAATGTTGAACGGGATGCTGAATCTGACGCTGTTGTTGTCCCAGAGGATTTCCAGACCTCTATGGGTTTCATAGCACCCTATCCTTATAACCTGTTAGCCACTGAAGGATCTTGTGTATGGGACTGGCAGAATGCTTATTGTGATCTTGTGAGTATTTCTCTAGCCAGCTTTAAGCTTGGTTATACAGTAGCCCTTAAAATTATTTGGAACCTTTAGCCACAGTTAAAAGTGTATGAATGTCATTGCATTGGATAACAAAAATATCAAACCAAATGACGTATAAAAAAAAATATATATATTTTTTTATATTTTATTACTAAGTGAGATTGCCATCGTGAAAAATTATTAGTTTTAGCCCATTCTAAAAAAACAAACGCATCATTTGCTTGCAGACGCTACTTGGATTTTGTATTTTATGTAATGCACTAAATCCATATTAAATGACCACTGACCTTGATTTAGTTGCGTGACTGTAAAGGCATTGATTCAGCCCATAGTTGAACATGCTTTTGATTCATAATCATGTACCCAATTGATAACCCATGTTTTTTGGTTTTTAAAGGAATCCTCCAAGATCTCAGACCTCAATCCCAATGCGAAGGCATGGGCCAATTACATGCATAAACCAGAGGCCTCTGCTCCAACCTGCCCAGATTCTCAGCAGTCATGGGTAGAAGCGGCCGATGACCCATCAAACTGCATCTCAGGAGGTACACCTCCAAAAATTACTGTGCTTAAGTTAAATTGGTGTATACCGTCTTTATCAGTCTAAAGAGGTTCTGATTTGTTTTTGTCCATAGGTTATAACAACAGTGAAGACAAAGGGAACTGGAATGAGGAACAGCAGGTATCTACATCTGTAGAGCTGCCCTTTGCAGCACAGACAGAATCAGCGTACATGGGAAGCTCAGCCAGTGAGAAGGGCATTGTGTCAAACCAGAACACCAGTATGAAAGGTAATATCCTTTTGCTCTTTCGTTCATTGTTGTCAACCTACTCTTATTACAGTTGTTTACATTTATGCACATTTACTATGACACAAGTCGGCACAATCAATCATTAAGGATTAGTAACTATAGCATTGTTAAATAATTGATCATTTATTTTATTCTTTTGTGCAGGGGTGGATGATTCCGACTCCTCCAGACAGCTTGAAGACCTTCGGGAACAGTTGAAGGCAACACTGGAGTTCTGCCTCTCTAGGTAATTACTAGCATCTTCACAACTGATCACATTGAGTCAGCTTATTGATTTGTAACTGGTCCTGTTGGGTGCACTTACCCAAAGTTCACAGGTTTTTTTAAACATAACGTATCCTGACACGGTACCTTAAATCAAGAACAGTGAATTTCAGACTGTTCTGTGTTAATATCTCATTGAGATGTTACACTTATGCAAATGTTAACTAAGAGCATTTAGCATTTGAGTATGTGGGATATGCTTACAAGAATCTTAGTTTTATGGCAAATGTAGGTTTGGATGTACACTACACTTTTGATCAATTTAATGCATTCTTGCTGAAGAAAATAATTAATTTAAAACTTTTCAACTAATTAAAAATCATACTGACCCCAAACTTTTGAACTGTAGTGAATGTTCCTAAAAGCTTGAGGATGTTGAGTTGATGTAGGATTGATGGTGACCCGACTCTAATCCTTTTCCAGGGAGAATCTAGCCAACGACATGTACCTCATCTCGCAAATGGACAGTGACCAGTATGTGCCAATAGTGACTTTGGCAAACCTTGATCAAATCAAGAAACTCACCACTGATGTGGATCTCATTGCAGACATCTTAAAAAGTGAGTCTAAAATCATCAACTTTGCACTTTTATGGGTCACAGTTTGGCTTTTTGTTTTAGACTCTCAAAATGGGTTTGGTTACACACAGCAGATGGGTCTGACATTTAATGATGCATTTATGACTCACCAGCGCTGCCTCTCGTCCAAGTGGACAAATGTGGAGAGAAAGTGCGGCCCAATCAGAACCGCTGCATCGTAATTCTCAGAGAGGTTCCCGAGGCCACTCCTCTAGAGGTATGCATCATGCATCACTCTTATTCGATAACATCTTTAATGCTCTGAGCTAATGTTTGTGCTGTATGACATTTGGCTTTCATTTTTACAGGAAGTTGAAGCGCTCTTTAAGAGCGATAACTTGCCCAAATTTATCAATTGTGAGTTTGCCTACAATGACAACTGGTTCATCACCTTTGAATCTGAGGCAGATGCTCAGCTGGTAAGTGTCTCCTTTATTGCCCCTGATTTGATCATCTCAGATTACTGCCTCAGGATTTTTAATAAGCTCTCTTCCTGTTGCTAAATGTTGGCATACATCACTCTTTCAGGCATATCAGTATCTCAGAGAAGAGGTGAAAACTTTTCAAGGGAAGCCGATAAAGGTAGAGTGCAATTGTTACGCAGCTCGAACGCCATCACTGTATAATTGAGAAAATCATCCGGCGCAGCATATGTGACATCACTGAAGGATATTTTGTGCTATTTTTAGTGACTCAAGGTTTCTCCTTTGTCGCACTTTCAAATAAAGTTATTTTGTCAATCTACGAATGTACTCTAGGCTAGAATAAAGGCCAAGGCCATTGCCGTCAATACCTTTGTGCCAAAGAATGGGTATCGGCCAGTGGATGTGTCCTCAAATGTCCAACAGCGCTACACCCCTTACTACATCCCACCTGTGTATGGAGCACAGCAACAGTTTCCTCTTTACAGACTGGTGACACCTCAGGGCTGGTCAGCTACGCAGAGCTACCTGGACCCGGCTCTGGTAAGTGCCTTGTGTCCTGTTTGGCTCTGAGGAATATCTGAGTGGCATCTGGGGAGGTACTAATCAGGTGTTGTCTACCAACAGGTTACTCCATTTCACAGCCCTGCGTTCATTAATGGCTTCGCTGGTTCTCCAACATTTAAATCAGCAACATCTCCACTAACTGTGCGACAATATGCACCTCGATACAGGTACTTTTGTTACAGTGAAAACATCTGATATACATTTACAGTATCAGTTTAAAGAAAGAAATTAATACTTTCAGCATGGATGTTTTAAATTGACCAAGAGTGACAGTAAATATTTTTTTTTATTTGACAAGATTTCTATTTCAAATAAATCAGGGCTGGGCAACTTCGGTACTGGCGGGCCAATGTCCTGCAGAGTTTAGCTCCAACTCTAATTAAACACACCTGTCTGTAGCTTTCTAGTGATCTTAAAGACATTCATTGACCACGATTGACATAAATGACCATGATATGAGATTTTAATTCATGATATCTAAATTATAACACACACACACACACACACACACACTTATTTTTTTTATATAAAAATAAAGCAAATTACAAACCATAAGCCAAATGCAATAGACACAAATTAAGTATTAAATAAACTTGTTTTTCTAATACAGTAGGTTTAACATATATACATTTATTTAGCATATTTGTTGTTTGATTAACATTGAGACAGACAGGTATTTAATTAGGCTGCTGTCCCTTTAAGACCAAATGAATGTAATATACTGACACACATCCGGTTTTCACCCACCTGTTTACATTCATTTAAGCCATAACCGACTATTTATGTGAGATACTCCACACGATGGACATTTTGACAGCTGTGTGTATTTGACAATTAAGGCGCAAGGAGAACTGATCGCAGAACTGGGATCGCGCGGGCGCACAGCTGAGAGAGCGCTTCTGTTGTGTCATTCAGCGTGATTCCGCCTGTCCTGCCTTCACTTACTGCAAGTTAATCGATAACGAATTGTGATTGGATGGTAATTTTGTCCTACGACAAGTTTAGCTACCTTTGATTAGTCAGTTCTCGCGTGACAGAACACTTCTACTACTCGCTCTGATCACCCAGTCATACTGATGAGACCAAGATAAACTTATTTGGTTCAGATGGTGTCAAGCGTGTGTGGCGGCAACCAGGTGAGGAGTACAAAGACAAGTGTGTCTTGCCTACAGTCAAGCATGGTGGTGGGAGTGTAATGGTCTGGGGCTGCATGAGTGCTGCCGGCACTGGGGAGCTACAGTTAATTGAGAGAACCATGAATGCCAACATGTACTGTGACATACTGAAGTAGAGCATGTTCCCCTCCCTTCGGAGACTGGTCCCTTTAAGGCCAAATGAATGTAATATACTGACACACATCCGGTTTTCACCCACCTGTTTACATTCATTTAAGCCATAACCGACTATTTATGTGAGATACTCCACACGATGGACATTTTGACAGCTGTGTGTATTTGACAATTAAGGCGCAAGGAGAACTGATCGCAGAACTGGGATCGCGCGGCTGAGAGAGCATTTCTGTTGTGTGTAATTCAGCGTGATTCCGCCTGTCCTGCTTTCACTTACTGCATGTTAATCGATATCGAATTGTGATTGGATGGTAATTTTGTTCTATGACAAGCTTAGTTACCTTTGATTAGGCTGTTCTTGTGTGACAGAACACTTCCACTACTCTCTCTTATCACCCAGTCATAAAGAAATGTAGAAATATGGGACAAAACATGATTTTTTCAAAATAAGTCGGGACACCAAAAATAAAAAAAGGGACTTCTGGTCACCCTATTTCTAAGGGATCATGTGACACTGAAGACTGCAATAATGATGCTGAAAATTCAGCTTTGCATCACAGGAATAAATGACTTTTCAAAATATATTAAAATAGAAAACAGCTGTGTAACCATTCTTTCATTCAAACAGGAACCACAACAAAACACACATTCGACTCACAACAGAACGTGGAACCACTCTGCTGGAAAACCCTGCTGCTTTCTCTACTTTCCCTTCGGAGAGAGTTCCCAATGGGATGCGTCCTCCACAGGTTCATCACATGGGTAGCCGACCTCGACTTCCCAGCGGTCCGGGCTATCCACGCCGGGACCAGGTTGGAAGTGGACGAATGGAAGTGAATGGAGCCGATTACTCTCTGAATGCAGGCCGTGGAAGGTAATGCTGCACATCTGCATCAGCTGTTTATTAATTTCATACATATTTTTGTAATACCATATCCAAAATGGGGAAAAAAGTTTCCTTAATAAATGTTGGTAATTTTTTCCATGTTGTTTGTTTGATTGGATTTTGTTTCTTTTGAAGAAGGGGCGGTTATGGATACAGGAAAAGAAGAGATGACAACAAGTTTCCAGTATGACATTTGCTTTGTTTCAGCTAACACTGCATAGACAAATGTTTTGTTGAGTTTTACTTTTGTTATGATAGGAAACTCTATGTACTTCAAGTAAAATATAATATGCAGTCAAGCCTGAAGGGCTGAATGTACATTATCTTGCTTATTGCACAGCCAAGTAAACAAATAAAAAGATATAATAAAATATTTACAAAAATGTGAGGGGTGTACTCACTTCTGTGAGATACTGTATATGAAGAGTTTATTTGCAAAAACGGATAACTCAAAAATCATGATTTTCAAAAATCTTGTTTTTTATGATGTTATGATGTTTTTATTGTTTTGTGTTAGTTAGCTGTATTTTTTAGGTATTTTTTAACCTATCTGCTGGAAAACCCTGCTGCTTTCTCTACTTTCCCTTCGGAGAGAGTTCCCAATGGGATGCGTCCTCCACAGGTTCATCACATGGGTAGCCGACCTCGACTTCCCAGCGGTCCGGGCTATCCACGCCGGGACCAGGTTGGAAGTGGACGAATGGAAGTGAATGGAGCCGATTACTCTCTGAATGCAGGCCGTGGAAGGTAATGCTGCACATCTGCATCAGCTGTTTATTAATTTCATACATATTTTTGTAATACCATATCCAAAATGGGGAAAAAAGTTTCCTTAATAAATGTTGGTAATTTTTTCCATGTTGTTTGTTTGATTGGATTTTGTTTCTTTTGAAGAAGGGGCGGTTATGGATACAGGAAAAGAAGAGATGACAACAAGTTTCCAGTATGCCATTTGCTTTGTTTCAGCTAACACTGCATAGACAAATGTTTTGTTGAGTTTTACTTTTGTTATGATAGGAAACTCTATGTACTTCAAGTAAAATATAATATGCAGTCAAGCCTGAAGGGCTGAATGTACATTATCTTGCTTATTGCACAGCCAAGTAAACAAATAAATGCACACGAAATATTGATTTGAGTTACTTTTTTATGACAGCGAAAAGAACCCAGAGTGAAACGAAAGACATAAAACTAGCACATCCATGTAAAAAAGAAAAATATCAGTTGCCTGAGTATGCTGCGATTGATCAATAAGAATAGTTTTTCTGTAGTGCTGTGTAATAATGTAGCATATTGAGGAATAGCCAAAAGTTAGTCAGAGTTACAAATAAATGTGCCAATGCGGGCTCAATTTGTTGTACACATTTCGTATTACACATTTTGTTGTACTTTTTCTCAACCTGTGTGTTTTAACAGAGAGCAGCAACACCGTCGCCCCCTCCTGTTCAGGAGCGCACTCCCTCCCCCAGCTTTGAGCTGGGTCTGTCCAGCTTCCCTCCTCTGCCTGGAGCCGCAGGAAATCTAAAACCTGAAGTAAAAACTGAAAACAGCCTTGACAACCGACTGTCTGACATTGTCACTGGAGCAGTTAAAGACAAGGTTGACTTTCATTCAGTCTTTCATGAGTGTCTTTTGTGTTTGAGTGCTGCAGCATTAAACTGACTTTTTGACTTTTAAAAAAGGAAGAGGAAAAACGTTTCAGGCTTATATTTTCGATTTGTAGAGAATTTACCAAATGCTCTTGGTTTTTGAATTTTAACTTCGTGCATGGAATGCCATGTTCACAGCAGACCTTGCTGTCAGTCATAACCATGACAAGTCCTTGGGTGTTTTGAGTGTTGTAGAGTGAGTAAGTGTGTGTGTGTGTTAGTTCCTGCTGTCCAGCTGTTATGTTTGTTCATGCTGTCCTTGCCGTAGGAGTTTCACAGAGGCCCCTTTGTCTCTCCACAGCCTCTAAATAAGGATGTGGTCACCAGCCGTGTGATCTCAGGGACCCCCAAAGAATCTGTGCAGGCTGCTCCTGCTCCTGCTGCTCAGACCCCAGTGGACCACCAACACTCACCCTCTCCAGCCGTTACAAAGTGGGTTTTCTTATTCTGAGTAACTAATCAATACATGTGACAAATCAGTTTTCACTTAAAGGTGTTGGAAGTGATTTCAGATGTTAACTAACTTTTATGGCATTTCAGCCATATGTTCTTTCAAATAGCATACTGTCAGAAAACTAAATAATTCACTGGCTTATGTGGATGTTACAGGCTTAAATCATGAGAAAAGCCTCATTATTATTATTATTTTTTCTGAAGCAATTTTACAGCTGTCGCAGTGACAGGTGTGCTTTCTCAGGATTCCGTTAGGTTGTGGGGATATTTTCATTTGTGGCATTCCAAAATAAATAGCTTGAAGCACTCTGAAAGGTGTTTCAAGATTTCATTGAGATAAACACCCAATTTTACTTGTCAACACTTATTTAGTAATATTCAGCAATTTGGCAGAGGTGGTGTTTACTTTCACATAGAATGAGGTCAGCTAATCATAAATAACATGTACATAAAGTCTTAAAGGTACAGAAGAAAATAATCATGTAAAATGACCTAACTTTGACTAATATTATAAGTGTACTTCTGGGGAATTATGAAATGCTGGAAAACTAGAAAATGACAAATTGTAATATATGGACTGCTTGTTTTTCTTGTATTTTACAGCCCGACAACTGTAGAAAAACCTAAAGAGATGCAGACACCTGCAGAGAAATGCTCAGAGACACCCGCTGCTAAAACCGCACCACTGAGCAATCCAATATCGGTAAGTGTCCAGGTAGCCTCACCATGTGGAATCAAACCTTTTAGTAATTGAATCAAAAAGGGTGTAAAAAACAATTAGAGTATATTTTATTTTTATAGCAGAATATTTAGGTTTATATAATTATATATGTAGTTGAGTGTTAGGAGACCAAGTGGTACAATTGGTGGACACTGCTGAGCTGTTTTACCATGATTTAAATTTATATGGTAAAAACAAGCTCTGATGGTGGCTAGTGTAGTTGTGTGTGTGTGTGTGTGTGTGTGTGTGTTTTAACCAGGTATTCAGCAGTTAAAAAAAAAACTTTGGAAAAACCTCACCTGCTTTGTGGGTTGTACAGAAACATATATCATATGGAACTGTTGTGCTTTATTGCATCCGCTCCTTCAGCTCTTTGTGATTGGCTCAAACTCTTTAACAGCCGATATATACTAAAATTAAAAAGTCTGGGGACAGTATTATTATTATTATTTCTATTATTATTTGTTTTTTGAAAGAAGTGAATACTTTTATTCAGCCAAGACATATTAAATTGATCAAAGGTGAAAGTAAAACATTTATAAATGTATATAATTTATAAATATTTCTTTTTCAAATAAATGATGTTCTTTTGAAATTTCTATTCATCAAAATTCTGGAAAATCTGTATCACAGTTTCCACAAAAATATAAAGCAGCACAACGGTTTTCAACATTGATGATGATAATTTTTCTTGAGCATAAAATCAGTATATTATGAGAAACACTGAGGACTGGAGTAATGGCTGATGAATATTCAGCTTTGCCATCACAGGAATAAATTATATTTTAAAACGGAACATTTGAAAATATTACTGCATTTTTTTTTTATTAAATAAATGCAGCCTTGCTGAGCAAAAGAGACTTCTAGATAAAAGATCCTGTTCATGTTCTTTAATGTACACAGATGGTTTAAAGGCTCTTGTTATGCTACATTTTGGTTACAAAGAATGACAATATGATTTACATTTCACAATGCAATAATGCATAATCGATAACCTAAATTGATTGATTTGATTTGATTCATTTATTGTGTTTAACCAGGAGTCCCGGAAGCCAAGCTACGCAGAGATCTGTCAGAGGATAAGGGAGGCACCAACACAGCAGCCATCAGCAGATCCCCGGCCTCTCAGCTCCACTGCTGAAGACATCAAGACTTCTGACTCGGCAGAACGCAGATGCAGAGAATCAGCGCCCGCACCTGCCAAATCTGCAGCGACGACTTGTCCCAGAGAGACAGTGAAACCTCATCAGAGCACCGGAGAACGAGTGAGTGGCAGCACGACAGTTTCCTTCCACCAATCCTGAGGGCCTCGGCTTTGCTTCCAGGACCGAACGGGAACGAAAACTTTGTCAGGGCTGCTCAAAAAAAAAAAAAAAAAGTCTCTCTTATCTCACGGTCTCACACAGACAGACAGCTTGTCACTGGAATCAGGGCCTACAGACAAAAGCACTTGTGCATAAGGGTTCTCTGAATATTTTTGTTGTCCTTTCTGTCGTTTTGTTTTTCGATTACAAGATCTTTTGTTGTTTTCCAAGGAAAATGGGATTAATGAACCAGCATCAGTTGGAGATTAACTATTTAAAAACATTTGTCAGAGCTCACCTTTATTTTGGGATTAAAACTTCAAGTAGTGCTGTTGGGAGGAAATACTGTTTTTTGGATAGTGCTGATCCTGAAACACTTTATTTTTGTGTTTTCTCTTTCCTTTTTTAAACTGATATGTATATAATTTTGCTAACTTTGAGTGTCTTGGTGCCGACGCAATTCCGAATGTCGACGGCCCAAGCCATTACAACTGCATGAGTGAGACTTTCGTGTAAATCTGTTTTGTTCCGTTTTTATGTTTGGATGTTCTAGCACTGGAGTGACTTATTTTTTTTTTTGGAGCTCTGAATTATTTTTTTTACATGCTAATCCTCTATCAAATTGTACTGATGTGATATTGTAGCAGGTGTATGTATACCTGTTCTTGTGTGCATGCTTCCTTTTACGTTTTCTTCTTTTCTTTTTAACCTTTTTAATGGCACACATTGGTTTGCTGTATCATTTCTTTTCTGTTTTTCCCTACTCGCCAGTAGTTTGGGAAGAATCCGCTCTGATGCCTCTTCATTCGATTCTGGAAGATCTTCACACTGCAAAGTCCTCAGGTTGCGAAGGTGAAGTGTTCATGTGCCTAGTCTGCTGTGATCTCAATGATAGATGGCTATATTATTTGCTTCTTAGCTCCGTTTGTTATCCCAGTGTGGTGCTATGGTTCGTCACATGGTTACTTTGGTGCTTTTATCTATAGAAACGAAGGGAAAGACACTGACATGCACCAACGTCTATTGTATGACCTTCACCGATTCGCTTTCATATCACCACAACTATACGAGTGGGATTGTGTACATTTTATATAGTGACATATACATCAAGAGCAAAAAGATCTGAGCCTTCAGCATACATGGACCAGCGCTGTTTTGTGGGGTTTCTCCTTTATGCAGACTGCGTTTCAGTGTCACTCTCGGTCATGCTGTTCATTAGTTAAGTTCATTGGTTCTCATTGGAGTTTGAAATCGACTTGGGCCGAGTGAGACAGTCCGTTTTTTTGTTTTGTTTTGATGTCTTCCTGCAGCGTGGAGCACGTGCAGAATGCTTTGAGATGTTCGTCATGGCGTATGTTGTTTATATTCTCTTGTATTTTCCCTGTGAGTATTTTTATTTTTTTTTTCAAAAAAAATGTTTTTGTTGATTTTTCTGACTTTCTGAATGCAACTGATCATTTTTCCATCAATAAATGAAGCATACCATGGGTAAAGTAATGAAGGTTTCATTACATGAAACTTTAAGGTGTTCAAAAAAAGAAACGAATTAAAAAGAAACATCACATATAAATTAACAGTGTTTGAAAACTTGAATTTTATTTAAACTTGAAAAAAAAAAATGTCTCCGCCTTAACTTTTTAGATGACAGTTTGGAGTTTTTTTTGTTTGTTTGCTTTCTTTCAATCCCCAAAGTGTAGAAAAAAGGATGATGTGGTTGAGGCGTCTCGAAGCCTTCGTCACTACATTTGTGTAGCACAATACTTTTGGGATTGAGATGGGATTAGTGTTTTGTTTTGTTCTCCTCTGTGTAAATGCTTGTGGTCTAAACTGTAGTACATGTATACACTCGGAATCATTCTAATATGCTGATTTGGTGCTCAAGAAACATTTATTATCTGTGCTAAGAACAGTTGCTTAATATTTTGAAGACATTTTTTTTTCAAATGTACTGTCACTTGATCAATTTAAATCAAAGTTGATTCTTTTTATTTAAGATATTTTATTTGTAATTTCATTTACGTTCATGTTTATGTATTTAAACAAATATAAATGTAACCTGAACAGGTATTGTCATTATGAAATGATTATTTGTGGAAACGTAAACACAAACAGAGTCGTTCTGTCGCCCCCTCGCGGCTGTAAAAAACACAGTCGCCTTGCGTCATGAGAGAGTGACAGAAAGAAAGAGAGGGAGAGGGGCTGGAGACGAACACACACACACCCCGCTCCGATTGGCGAGCTTCACCGCACTGACAGTCCACATCTTACACTGCTGACTCTAACGGCGGAGCCCTTCAGATATGGCGGGGCTTCGTTGAGAGGGACAGAAAATCTCCGAGCACCGAACAGTTCGTTCTTATATATATATATATATTCTGATCCATACTAAAGTGTAGATTCATTTTATAGATCTGTATTACCCTGTAAAGAAATGTTTTATTCTGAAGTTCTAAAGGAGCTGGATTTTTAGAGCATTTAGTCAGTGTTGTTGTATGGCAAATGCAGAAGAGAGAGGAAGTGATGGAATGTTGTGAGGTATGTGAGGGGCTCTGATGAGAGCTGACAGGGGCTGTGCTGTGGGGTCGAGGTGCCGCGTGCGGTGCAAGATAGCGGTGCTGAGGTTGTGTCACTGCCAGTCACCTGTGCTTGGACATGGGGAGATCGTGACATTTGCTAAATGCCATAAATTATTCGCAAGCTGTGCCAGACAGATGGCATCTCACTGCTTTACCTGCAGTTTTAATTTTATATTTGTCTTTGCTAGCTTTTGGTTGATTTTGTGAAGATTTAGTAGGGAATGTATGGTTTGTTTACACATAGAGGTTATTAACAGATGCTGTAGCATCTGGTGTGACTGACATAATTTCCTCTCTCCCTCTCTTTAGTCTCTGTGGGAGCAAATACCACGAGTCCCGGTTTTCCCCCACTCCAAGTATTCCATAGAAAAATGTATATTAAACAGCACTTCCCTGTTCACGGCATCACACCAGTGTTTTTTTTCTTTTCCTTGTACATCTAACTTTCTCATGACCCAATGTAGGTTAATGAACTAAAAAATGCCTCTTTACCTCGCCTTATACTCAGGTGTTCTAGGATGAATCTCATGAAGCTTCAAGAACGTGCCCATGTCACATTTCACCCCACATCATTAAGAAATTCTATTTTGCATAAAGAAAATGAGCTAATATATATATATATATTAGTGATCGACTGATATTGATATTTTATAACCGATACCAATTATTTGCATGTTTATGTGCCCGATAACCGATATGCAGAACCGATATTTATTTACTGTTATAAAGTAAATAAATGACTGAGTGAAGTAAGTCCATACTTCACTTTGGTTTTTCCTCCTTTCAGTCATCTTAAAAAAAGTGTTGAAAATTAGCAGTCTTTCATGTTAAATTTAATCTTCACATTACACATAACGAATTAAATTCAGCACTTTTATTTCCAACATACGCCCATTCATGGCTGCATATTATTTAATTCACGCAAAGTTACGTCTTTATTGGGACAGGACTTGACGGATTATCTTACGTGACTCCGTGAGTTCGTCTCTATTTCTTCGAGCCAAGCTGCATAAACTGCATATCAGGCATTTATGTAATACATCTAATTTGTGCATTAATGGCTGTTATGTTAAATAAAGTTTACTAACTACAGTAAATCAAGTACCCGTGCATGCCGTTGTTGTTGTCTTGTTTGCCCTCAGATGTGCTGCAATGGTGATCCTGCACGCAATTCTCAAAACATCCACAAGATGGCGGCGTTTATCGGTGAATCCGATATTACAAAACCGATATCCGATTATTGTAAAATGCTTAAATATCGGGAAAAATATCGATATATCGGTCGATCTCTAATATATATATATATATATATATATTACATTAAGTGTTAAATATTGACAAATACTACTTTAAATAATTCTATGTATTATATGTATAATATATTGTATATATATATATATTACATTAAATATTAATTTAATAATTAATTTAAATAATGTAATAGGTATAATTTATTACATTGATGTTAAATATCGACAAATGCTATTTTAAATAAAAAAAACATTATATAATTATATATTTATACATATATATTAAAATTAGTTTTTGATGTACACACACACACAGACACAGACACATATATATCCATATTAAAATATTTATACATTATAGGACTATATGTTGTGTTGACTTTAATTTATGCTAATATATAAAAAAAAAACTACTGTTGTATTTGTTTTTTTTTTTATAACGAGAATCACCAAGAAATACTGATTCTCCTGAACATCCTGATACATTACAATATTGATTTATTTTATAGGGGAAAATGTGCTTAGGTCACAATGCAGGCTTTGTTTTCTTCATACAAAATATACATTTTGTGTGATTTTTTTTCTGGGATCAAATATAGACAAGGCTCGTTCTTGACAGGTTTCATGAGATACGCCGTCTAAGAAAGCGAACTTGCACTTGCATCTTCATGAAGCGTGATAAAGGAGATCTATTACCGCAAATCTCCTTTGACTGCTGTTAGCCTTGTGGGATTATGTCATCTGACTGACCTCCAAACTGCTTATCCGCCACTTTCATCCAATCACTGTTGTCCGTTGACCCTGTGACCCCCTTCCCCACTCAAAGCAGATGTTAAGATCTAATTGAGAGGACTAATCAGACAAAGTTGTTTTTCTTTATCTAAACAAACATACAGTATTTCACAAGCTTGTACAAATTGCAGTCGCACAAGAGACTTGGAAATCTTGTTAGCATATGTTTAACATGCTCTACCTCCAAATAACCTTAACGATATGATACCGAGACTAGAGTTACACAAGTTCTGTACATGCCTGTACACATCCAGTTTCCCACGTTACGCATGGATTGTAATTTTTCTCGTTGTTGTTGTGTCTGTTGGAAGAGTGTCATCGGATGCCTACGAGATAATCTTCATCAGTCCGATGTAGCATAACTGGAGCCATTGATGTTGAGGGAGACGTATGGACAAGCTCAAACTGTTACATTTCATTCCAGTCCAAGCTTAAACTGCTTGATTTTATTCATAGACTGAGACTCACAGACACTTAATAAACTTTCAAATTTGCACCATTTATTAGTGTAGAAGCCACTTATTGCCTTATGAAAGGTAGTAAACAATTTCACACCTTGCTGACTTGCTCCACAGCTTCAGTGAAGCTAAATCTGTTCCTGCTCTTGGAGGACATTTCTTATACAGGGAATTGAGTGCATATTTTTTGCTGTATGACTGTGTAACTTGATGCTGCATTTGTAACCAAGCTCTCATTCGAGAACACAGCTGCTTCAAAGAGCGCCTGTTCGGCCCGCTGACCACTCTGCAACCACATCCGGCTCAAGTTGACCTTTAACCCCATCGCTAAGCGAAAGGTGTAAGCTCATTTC